AAGAACCATATGATCCTCTCAATAGATGCAGAAAAAGCATTTGACAAAGTACAGCATCCTTTCTTGATCAAAAGTCTTCAGGGATAGAGGGTACATACCTCAATATCATAAAAGCCATCTATGAAAAACCCACAGTAAATATTCTTCTCAATGGGCAAAAACGGAGAGCTTTTCCCCTAAGGTCAGGAACACAGCAGGGATGTCCACTATCCCCAGTGTTGTTCATCATAGTACTAGAAGTCCCAGCCACAACAATCAGACAACAAAAAGAAATGAAAGGCATCCAAATCGGCAAAGAAGAAGTCAAACTGTCACTCTTTGCAGATGATATGATACTTTATGTGGTAAACCCAAAAGACTCCACCCCAAAACTGCTAGAACTCATACAGAAATTCAGTAAAGTGGCAGGATATAAAATGAATGCACAGAAATCAGTTGCATTTCTATATACCAACAAGACAGAAGAAAGAAATTAAGGAGTCGATCCCATTTACAATTGCAACCAAAACCATAAGATACCTAGGAATAAATCTAACCAAAGAGACAAAGGATCTGTACTCAGAAAACTATAAAATACTCATGAAAGAAATTGAGGAAGACACAAAGAAATGGAAAAACGTTCCATGCTCATGGATTGGAAGAACAAATATTGTGAAGATGTCAATGCTACCTAGAGCAATCTACACATTTAATGCAATCCCTATCAAAGTACCATCCACTTTTTTCAAAGAAATGGAACAAATAATCCTAAGATTTGTATGGAACCAGAAAAGACCCCGAATAGCCAGAGGAATGTTGAAAAAGAAAAGCAAAGCTGTCGGCATCACAATTCTGGACTTCAAGCTCTATTACAAAGCTGTAATCATCAAGACAGTATCCTGCTGGCACAAAAACAGACACATAGGTCAGTGGAACAGAGTAGAGAGCCCAGAAATGGACCCTCAACTTTATGGTCACCTAATCTTCGACAAAGCAGGAAAGAATGTCCAATGGGAAAAAGACAGTCTCTTCAACAAATGGTGTTGCGCCACATGCAGTTTCTTCAACAAATGGACAGCCACATGCAGAAGAATGAAACTGGACCATTTCCTTACACCACACACAAAAATAGGCTGAAAATGGATGAAAGACCTAAATGTGAGACAGGAATCCATCAAAATCCTTGAGGAGAACACAGGCAGCAACCTCTTTGACCTCAGCCACAGCAACTTCTTCTTAGAAACGTCACCAAAGTCAAGGGAAGCAAGGGCAAAAATGAACTATTAGGACTTCATCAAGATAAAAAGCTTTTACACAGCAAAAGAAACAGTCCACAAAACCAAAAGACAACCAACAGAATGGGAGAAGATATTTGCAAATGACATACCAGATAAAGGGCTAGTATCCAAAATCTATAAAGAACTTATGAAACTCAACACCCAAAGAACAAATAATCCAATCAAGAAGTGGGCAGAAGACATGAACAGACATTTTTCCAAAGAAGACATCCAGATGGCCAACAGACACATGAAAAAGTGCTCAACATCACTTGGCATCAGGGAAATGTAAATCAAAACCACAATGAGATACCACCTCACACCAGTCAGAATGGCTAAAATTAACAAGTCAGGGAACGACAGATGTTGGCGAATATGTGGAGAAAGGGGAACCCTCCTATGCTGTTGGTGGGAATGCAAGCTGGTGCAGCCACTCTGGAAAACAGTATGGAGGTTCCTCAAAAAGTTGAAAATAGAGCTACCTTACAACCCAGCAATTGCACTACTGGGTATTTATCCCAAAGATACAAATGTTGTGATCCAAAGGGGCACATGCACCCCAGTGTTTATAGCAGCACTGTTCACAATAGCCAAACTATGGAAAGAGCCTAGATGTCCATCAACAGATGAATGGATAAAGAAGATATGGTGTATATATACAATGGAATATTATGCAGCTATCCAAAAAAAATGAAATCTTGCCATTTGTAACAATGTGGTTGGAACTAGAGGATATTATGTTAAGTGAAATAAGTCAGAGAAAGACAAGTATGATACGATCTCACTGATATGAGGAATTTGAGAAACAAGACAGAGGCTCATAGGGGAAGGGAGGGAAAATGAAACAAGACGAAACCGGAGAGGGAGTCGAACCATAAGAGCCTCTTAATCTCAGGACACAAACTGAGGGTTGCTGGAATGGAGGGGGGTTGGAGGGATGGGTGGCTGGGTGATGGACATTGGGGAGTGTAGGTACTATGGTGAGTGCTGGGAACTTTGTAAGACTGATGAATCACAGACCTGTACCCCTGAAACAAACAATACATTATATGTTAATGAAAAAACTTTAAAAAAGGGGGCACCTAGATGACTCAGTCAGTTGAGCATCTGCCTTTGGCTTGGGTCATGATCCCGGGGTCCTGGGATCGAGCCCCGCGTCGGTCTCTCCTCGGCGGGAGGCCTGCTTCTCCCTCTCCCGCTCCCCTGCTGTGTTCCCTCTCTCGCTTTCTCTCTCTGTCAAGTAAATAAATAAAATGTTTTTAAAAAAAATTAAAAAAAGAAACTCACTTTATTTTTAACCTGTATCTTTGTAATTAAAAGTATGGGAAAAGGTACTATATAAACACTGAGAAGGCTGGAGTGACTATGTATTAGATAAAGGAGACTTCAGAACAAGGAAAATATTACAAGGGATAAGAAAGTACATTTTATAATGAAAAAAGGATCAATTCATTGGGAAGACCCAGCAATCCTGAATGTGTGTTCATCCAATGCTAGAGCAAAACAAAAACTGACAGCTGAAAGGAGCAATAGACAAATCCATAATGGTAGTTGGAAATTACAGCAGTCTCTTTAAATAACTGATAGAACAAGCAAGCAAAAAAATCAGCGGACATGACTATCAGTGGACTGTACCTAATTGACATTTATAGAATACCATGCCCATATTCCTTTCAAGTGCACAAGTAACATTTATCAAAATGGGCTATATGCTGGGCTATAAAACGTGTTTCAACAAATTTAAAAGGATTTAAATTATAAGGAGTCCTTTGACTAAAATGGAATTAAATAAAAAGAAAAAGAAATCTGGAAAATTGCTGAATATTTGAAAGTTAAATAACATACTTCTAAATAAACGTAGGTCAAAGATGAATTCATAAGGGAAAAAAAGGAATTCACAAGGGAAATTAAGAAATATTTTGAACTAAATGAAAATGAAAACATAGTATATCAAAATTTGTGGGATGCAGCTAAAGCAGTGTTTTAGAGGGAAAGCTTAAAGCTTCAAAAGAAAGCTCTAGGGCACCTGGGTGGTTCAGTTGGTTAAGCCTCTGCCTTTGGCTCAGGTCATGATCCCAGGGTCTTGGGATCGAGCCACACATCGGGCTCCCTGCTCAGTGGGGAGTCTGCTCCTACCCACCATGCCCCCTACCGCCCACTCATGTGTGCTTTCCCTCTCTTTCTGTGTCAAATAAATAAATAAAATCTTAAAAAAAAAAAAGAAGGTCTAAAATCAATTACCCCAAGTCTGCCTTTAGAAACTAGAAAAAGATCACACTAAGTAGAAGGAGAGAAATAAAAAGCTGGGATGAAATAGCAAATCTGAGTAACCCTGTATTTATTTTTTTAATTGGATTTATAGTTAAAAGCCTTTCCGCAAAGAAAAGTCTAGACTCACATGGCTTTATTGGTGAATTCTATTGAACATTTAAGGAAGAAATAGTAACAAAATTTTCACAAATTTCAGAAAACTTACGAGGACAACATTATCTTGATATCAAACCAGGCAAAGACATGAGGAAAAAAGAAAGTATAGCTCAGTATCCCTCATGAATATATACTCAGAATCATTAAAAATTATTAGCAAATTGAATCTACACACACGCGCGCACACACACACGATAATACATCATGACTAATTGGTTTAATCCCAATTGCAAGGTTGATTTAACATTAAAGTCAGTGTAATTCACCATATTAATAAAGCAGAAAAGCCAAATGACCTTGTAACAGATGCATGAAAAGCATTTAAACAAAGTTTACTAATTTGTGGTAAAAGCTCTCAGGTAACTAGGAATAGAAGGAAACTTCCTCAGTCTGATAAAGGGAACTTCCTCAATCTGATAAAAGGCATCTGTGAAGAACCTATGGGTGAACCTCATGCTTAATGGTAAAGATTGGATGCTTTCAATTTAATGTCCAGAACAAGTCAAAGATATTTATATCACAACTTCTGTTTAACTTGTTCTGAAGATCCTAGCTGATGTATTAAGGCAAATAAAAGGGATAAGCTCACAGAAAGGAAAAGTAAAATTATGTTTATTTTTTAGATGTCTTATAAATGACATGATTGCACATGTAGAAAGTTCTACTTCTGCATCCCGCAAATTTTGATAAAAAAAGCTACTAGAGTTTAAGTTTAGCTAGGATACAAGATCATTTTATGAAAACCTGTTGTATTGGGGTGCCTGGGTGGCTCAGTTGGTTAAGCAACTGCCTTCGGCTCGGGTCATGATCCTGGAGTCCCGGGATCGAGTCCCGCATCGGACTCCCTGCTCAGCGGGGAGTCTGCTTCTCCCTCTGATCCTCCCCCTCTCCTGCTCTCTGTCTCCCATTCTCTCTCTCAGATAAATAAATAAAAAATCTTTAAAAAAAAAAAAAAAAAGAAAACCTGTTGTATTTCTGTATACTAACAATACACAGTTGGCAGTTGAAATTTGAAAAGCAATACCATTTGTCATAGCATCAAGTAATATAAAAACATCCCCCAAGAACAGAAGAGTGAGAGTATTTGTTAGAATTCCTTGTGGTTTTTTCCCACTTTATTTTTTATTTTTTTAATGTTTTAAATTTAAATTCAATTAATTAACATATAATGTATTATTTGTGTCAGGGGTACAGGTCTGTGATTCATTGGTCCTACATAATACCCAGTGCTCATTACAACACATACCCTCCCCAATGTCCATCATCCAGTTACCCCATCCCTCTACCCACCCCACCCCCCAGCAACCCTCAGATTGTAAAAATATGGAACACTTCATGAATTTGCTTGTCATCCTTATGCAGAGGCCATGCTAATCTTCTCTGTATTGTTCCAATTTTAGTATATGTCCAATTTTAGTATATGTGCTGCCGAAGTGAGCACTAGAACTCTTTGTAATAGAAGTTACCTTGTATTCTCATTTCATTGGTGAGGGCTTTGGAGTACAAAGGATTACAGTACATTCATTTGTTTAAGTAATCTTGATACCCAACCTGTGGCTCAAACTCACAACCCCAAAATCAAGAGTTGCATGTTCTGCTCACTGAGCCAGCCAGGGCCCCTGGTTTAGCATTTCTAAATTAAACTACACCCAATGTGGGGCTTGAGCTCATGACCCCGAGATCAAGAGTCATATGCTTCACCAACTGAGCCAGGCAGGCACCCTGCATTTTTAATTTAGGTGAATGGTTCAAAGTCTTTACCTTTTAGTTATATCTGAAATATTGCAACTTGCTGAATAATCTGACCTCTGTGTGAGGCAAACCATTTTATTGTAATACAGGCTTGACAGTTTAAAGGGTGATTAAAACTGGAATGCAATTGGTCATTGTGGAAAAGAGTATGGAGGTTCCTCAAAAAATTAAAACTAGAACTACCCTGTGATACAGGAATTGCACTACTGGGTATTTACCTGAAAAATAACAAAACATGAATTCAGAGGGATACATGCACCCCTGTGTTTATTGCAGCATTATTTACAATAGCCAGTCTATGGAAGTATCCCAAGTATCCATCAGTAGATGAATGGATAAAGAAGATATGGTATATAGATATAATGGAATTCAGTCATAAAAAAGAATGAAATCTTGCCATTTGCAACAACATGGATGGAGCTAGAGAGTATAATGCTAAGCGAAATAAGTCAGTCAGAGAAAGACACATACCACATGCTTTCACTCATGTGGAATTTAAGAAACAGAACAAATGAGCAAAGGAAAAAAAGAGGGAGAGAGAGATAAACCAAAAAACAGACTCTTAACTATGGAGAACAAACTGATGGTTACCAGAGGGGAGGTGGGTTAACAGGTGGGGGAAATAGAGACTAGAGATTAAAGAGTACACATATCATGATTTTAAAAAAAGGAGGGGCGCCTGGGTGGCTCAGGCGTTAAGTGTCTGCCTTCGGCTCAGGTCATGATCCCAGGGTCCTGGGATCAAGCCCCACATCTGGCTCCATGCTCGGCGGGAAGCCTGCTACTCCCTCTCCCACTTCCCCTGCTTGTGTTCCCTCTCTAGCTGTGTCTCTCTCTGCCAAATAAATAATCTTAAAAAAAAATTTATAAAAAGGATGTACACCTTTGTCCTAGCGATGAATCCTTTTTACAGTGCTACTGGGATAGACATTAAGTTGTGCAAAACTGATAGCAATGTGAAGAAAAAAAACCCCACAAAACTGGTTGGTTTAGTTGGCTAAAGTTTCATGTTAAAGATGTACCTTAAATATCCTCCTGAACTCCCAGAGAGGGGGAAAGCAATAACTAATCTTCATCGAGTACCACCTATATTTCAGGCATTGTTTTCCTCCCTCCCCAATATATAGTATTATTTTATTTAATCCTTGCAGTATCCCTAAGGTGGGTCTTCTTTTTTATCACAGTTGAGAAGACCAGAGCTCATATGTCATAGAGTGATTTGCCTTGTTTCATACAGTGACTCAGTGATTCAGTCCCACACCTATCTGATTTTATTTATTTATTTATTTTTAAAATTTTTTTAAAAGATTTTATTTATTTATTTGACAGAGAGACACAGCGAGAGAGGGAACACAAGCAGGGGGAGTGGGAGAGGGAGAAGCAGGCTTCCCGCTGAGCAGGGAGCCTGATGTGGGGCTCGATCCCAGGACCCTGGGATCCTGACCTGAGCCGAAGGCAGACGCTTAACGACTGAGCCACCCAGGCGCCCCCCTATCTGATTTTAAACTGTTGGTACCAGCTGTTCTCAATAATTTTTCTATTGCTCACGCTCCTGGGCCATCCCATTCTTTCCCATTCAGGAAATGCAAGTAAGTGAGATTAATTTTTCCAGTGCTAACTTTGAATTCCTTATTTTAACAGTAAATCACAGTAAATCATTCAGAAAAAAAAGTCAGGGATGTAATTTGTGATACTCCTCACAGCTGATATGTTAAGACATTAGTTTGTTTTTTTTTTTAAAGTTTTTATTTATTTATTTGACAGAGAGAGACCAGCGAGAGAGGGAACACAAGCAGGGGGAGTGGGAGAGGGAGAAGCAGGCTTCCCCGCGGAGCAGGGACCCCGATGCGGGGCTCGATCCCAGCACCCTGGGATCATGACCTGAGCAGAAGGCAGACGCTTAACGACTGAGCCGCCCTGTTTTTTTTGTTTTAAGTAAGCTCCACACCCAGTATGGAGCCCAGTGCGGGACTTAAACTCATGACCCTGAGATTGAGACCTGAGCTGAGATCAAGAGTTGGACGCTTAACCACATGAGCCACCCAGGTGTACCCCAAGACACCAGTTTTATGTTTTTTAATTGCTGTGCTTAACTCTGAGCCATGAGCCATCATGTGCCTTAGGAAATAATGTGCTTTAGGGGTCTAAGTAACAGTGACCTAGCTAAGAGTATTTACATGGATTATACCAAATGTACCTACCATCTTGATGATAGGTTAGTAGTGTAATTTTTGGAATTGGAATTGGAGGGTGAGTAAATGAGATTGCCACGACTTAGTGGAAAATCTCTGAATTATCTTTTCCCAGACTAGATAGGTAGAAACTGGGAATGGCTAAGATGTATATGTAGGAGGTAGAGTCATGGATTATATAAACTTAAAAAATTACTGTGTTAAATTCTAGCTTTTGAAGGGGCAGAGAGGTGCATTAGGGTTATCTGCCTGGCTTTTTCTTTTTTTTCCTTTTTGGTCTGCCTGGCTTTTTACAGATGAGTAAATTGAGGCTCAGAGAGAGCAGTTGACTTGCTAAAGGTTGTGCCACAATCAATATACCAATATATTGGGCTCTGCAATGGAAATTTTGTTATAGTTTCCTCTAGGAGATGGTAGTAGGTTTGTTTCTTACAGATTAATTAATGATCTCTTCAAAACAGTAAAAGCCAGGAACTTAAACTTACTGATCACACTTTCTTCAGGTCTATGTACTTCTTGGATATTTGAAATCTGGATTATAGTGATCTTTATATTTTTGTTTTTAAGACCATTTCTTCTGTGTTGTCTTTACTATGAATGTGCCCCCAGGATTTTCTACAGAACTTCTCCTTTCTGTCTAAATATTGAATTTGTAGTTTTTATTTCTTAATTTTTTAAAGATTTTATTTATTTGAGAGAGAGAGAGAAAGCACGAGCCGGGCAGAGGGAGAGGGGCAGGCAGAGGGAGAGGGACAAGCAGACTCCCCGCTGAGCAGGAAGCCTGATGTGGGACTCAGTCCCAGGACCCTGGGATCATGACCTGGGCCGAAGGCAGACACTTAACCGACTGAGCCACCCAGGCGCCCCTGAACTTGTAGTTTGTTTGTTTGGTTTTTTTTAAAGATTTATTCATTTCTTTGACAGAGACACAGCAAGAGAGGGAACACAAGCAGGGGGAGTGGGAGAGGGAGAAGCAGGCTTCCCGCTGAGCAGGGAGCCGGATGCGGGGCTCGATCCCAGGACCCTGGGATCATGACCTGAGCCGAAGGCAGACGCTTAACGACTGAGCCACCCAGGCGCCCCTGAACTTGTAGTTTTTAATCTATAAAGGATTTTCCAAGCATAAGGAGAAAGGCTGAAGCTAAATTGCAAGCTTTATAATGAAATACATAGTAGTCCATATGATTGTTGCTTCTACATATGTTGAAGTCATATTCCTTTCCCTTATATTTAGTTTTTTAATGATTAATTTTTAGTTATATAAGGAATGCATGCATACTTTTGTAATAATGAGAACTGTGATTGCTCTGAGAAGTTTGAGATGTATCTATCTAGATTTTTTTAAATACTATATTTATCCACTTGCATATATATTTATGCATAGAAAACATTACTGATTTTTGTGTGTCATTTTTACAGAAATTGAATCATACTATTATTGTTCTGCAACTTGTTTATTTTTCATGCAACAGGTGATTTTGAGATCTACCATTTAGGTGTGGCTACATGTTCTTTAAACAATCATCCTATAAACACATATGTTAGGACAGTGCTTTGTCCCTTATTTAAAGAAATATGAGGGGGCGTCTGGCTGGTTCAGCCAGTGGAGCATGGGACTCTTGATCTCAGGGTCACGAGTTCAAGCCCCACACTGGGCATGGAGCCTACTTAAAAAAAAAAAATAGGGGCACCTGGGTGGCTCAGTGGGTTCGGTGTCTGACTCTTGGTTTCTGCTCAGGTCAGGTCGTGATCTCACAGTCATTAGATTGAGTGGGGAGTCTGCTTGCAAAGAGTCTCTCTCCCTCTGCCCCTGCCCCTGCTTGCCCGTGCCCTCTCTCTCTGGAATAAATAAATAAATCTTTTTAAAAAATTTAAAAATATATGAAATGAGATAAAGGATTTGAAAATTAGAGGGAGAAAACCTAATCCTTTCCATAGATGATCAGGAAGCTCTGGAGGGCAGGATTATGTTTGATGCTCTTCTCTGTCTACCATAGTTGCGGTACCTCCCATGGTTGTAAGTACTTCCTGTATCTAGCAGAATTGCACTGGATCTTTTTTTTTTTTTTTTAACATCCTTATAGAGATACGATTCACACAACATACACTTCATCAGTTAAAGTGTACAATTCAGGGTGCCTGGGTGGCTCAGTCGGTAAACGTCTGCCTTCGGCTCAGGTTGTGATCTCAGGATCCTGGGATCAAGTCCTCCCGAATCGGGCTCCCTGCTCAGCGGGGAGCCTGCTTCTCCCTCTGCTCATGTGCTCTCTTTCTCTCTCTTTCAAATAAATAAAGAAAATATTAAAAAAATAAAAAATAAAAATAAAGCGTACAATTCAGTGGGTCAGTATATTTACAAAATTGTGCAACCATTACCACAATCAGTTTTAGAACATTTTATCACCTCGAAGAGAAACCTTTATGCCTTAGATGTCACCCTCAAAACCCCCATCCCTCTAAAATCTAGTCAACCACCAGTCCA